CGAGGGGAGGCAAGGATATTGCGCTCGTAGAGGTGGCGGGCAACTGACATGAGTTGCGGGTCAACTTTGATACGCTCAGTCGCGGAACAAGGTAACCGAGAGATCCACCGAAGGCTGATCATGCGGGAGGCGAAGTGGGGACGAAGCACCAAATCCTGGACAGGAGGTGTAGAAGGACATGTCAAGAACATCCGAGAAACGCAGCCTTATAGCAGTGATTTTGCCCTGAACCGGGCGCTTCCGCCATTCCGTCAGGGGCCGGGAGGGGGGTGCTCATCGGGAGAGGAATCCTTAGTGCCGCCCCGGGGGTCCACACCCTCCCACAAAGGAAGCAACCCCCCCCCAGAATAAAACGTCAGGCCCCGGGTAATTATTTTCTAACAATTTAATATAATGGCGAGACTAACAAAATATCAAGTAATCAGCAACATCTATTACGACTTAGACGAGGGTTTCGGAAGCACACAAGCGACACACAAGAAGGCAAAGGAAGAAGACCCGGCAATAACATTAGACGATGTAAAGTCTTTCTTAAAACAAATCAAAAATTACAGAGGTACTAATTCCTACACCGCTCCATTCGCACGATATGAATATCAAATAGACATAATGCATATGTCACCTTTAGCAAAAGACAAGAACGTTCCACAGTATGCTTTAGTCGTGATTGACATCTTCAGTAAATTAGCAGATGTAATACCGATGGAGGAAAGAGACGGAGAGCACGTTTTGAAGGCGTTGAGAGCAAGTTTTAAAAAGATGGGTTATCCGGTGTCCGTGTATTCTGATGACGATGGCGCGTTTGCAACTAAAAATCAAGTTCAGGATTTCTTCAACAGTGAAGGAATAAACCACATCGTCACGAAGACCCACGCAAATGTAGCCGAGCGTTTTATTAGGACGATGAAAAACAAAATTCACGATAGAGTTAGGTTTAACAACATGAAATGGACCGACACCCTAACACCAGCATTGAAACAGTATAACAGCACATCACACTCATCAACAAGGATGACACCGTCCGAAGCACACAAGGACGAAAATGAAATAAATGTAAAGGTCAATCTTAAACTACGAGAAAAAAACAAAAGAAAGTATCCCAGAATAGAGGAGAACGACAAGGTAAAAGTGTTCCAAAAGAAAAGGGGGTAATTACACCGACAGAAAGGAGTATAACTCTAAATGGTCTAGAAAAATGTTCAATGTTGATAAAATTGAATATGATACTATGAGTAATAAAACTTACAAAGTAGCAGGAATAAACAAACCGCTTTTGAGACACGAAATTTTGTTAGTTAATGATTAAGCGTATTTCTTGGTGTCTTCGATATACTTGACTTGATAGTAATCCATACTTGATTGTTTAGGTTCTTTTATGACTGTTTCATTCAGTTGTTTAACATAAATGTTTCGTTTAATTTTGTATTCGCTACTGTCTCTATCTACTTCTTTTGCTTGATAATTGTTATTGTTATTATATGTAGGTTTAATATTCATGCTCTTTAAGATTTTCAGTATGTTTTCCTTTTGCTCCAACACTTTTTCTAATCTTGGAAACAACAACTCTAAACTACTGTCAATGTTCTCTCAATGTTCCTCCATATATATATATACTATATTATAAAACTAAACTTTTAAAACTAAATGTTGCAATTGTCTTAAATCTACTCTTTACATACTTTTTTTTCATCATTTCACGTGTAGTTTCCTGTGTTTCCTTATCACCATTATCGGATGGTGATGCATGCCTTCCCCATTTGATAGCAATATTATGAACATCTGTTTCTAAGTTGATGCTGTCTTTAGTTTTATCAATATTCATTTTCTTATCATTCTTACTTATGTTGAAACTTGTTGGAATACACGAGCATTTACAATTCCTATTTTTTATTTCTAATTCATTTTTCATCTCTAACATTCTTTTACATAAAGGGCAAGCAAACTCAATAACTGATGTTTCTTTAACAATTTCTTCTTTTTCTTCATCACTTGAAGAAACAACTGGCTTGGTCTTATTCTTTTTGCTTTGTTTCCTTCCCATCTATATTAATATTTCTATTTTTAATAGATGAAAAATGCGCGGCGCCTAGGCGAGAGAGCGCCTGCAAGTGCACCCGTCGGGAAATATATATATATATAAATAAATTCTTGTGCGTCTTTAAAAAGAAAACTTCGCTTCGAGCAATCCCCGCCCTCCACACGCGCGAGCATACGACCGTGAACACGGTTGTGTGAATTCAAGCATGGTTTTCAAGTGGCTTGGGGCCTAGGACTGCTGAACAAGCTTTGCATTGAGAGCCTTATTCACCTGTCCGTGTGTAAAACTCCACTTGTCTGCGAGCCGTTCCGTTATTAAACGAAGTTGCTTATTCACAACCCAAAGCAACACAAAAAGCCTCAGGGTACACTCAAAACACGAAGGCACCAACGTGAAATGCAAACCCAACTGTGTGTCGGGCGGGACATTAAGCAAAGCCAGACTGGCGAGCTGCTCTGGCGAGATACTGGCGAGCCGCTCCGGCTCGATACTGGCCGGACACTCGGTAGGATCCACCGGCAACGGATACTCAGCGGGATACTCGGCAGGATCCACTGACGAGCTACTCTGGCATACTCGCAGGATACTCGGCGGGATCCACTGGCGGGTTGCTCTGATGGGATACTCGGCGGGATCCACTGGCGAGCTGCTGTGGCGGGGGCGGGATCCACTGGCCAGCCGCTCGCAGGATACTCGGCGGGATCCACTGACGAGCAGCTCTGGCGGGATCAACTGGCGAGCTGCTCTGGCGGGATACTCGGCGGGATCCACTGGCGAGCAGCTCTTGCGGGATACTGGGCGGGATCCACTGGCCAGCTGCTCTGGCGGGATACTCACTGGCGAGCCGCTCTGGCGGAATACTCGGCGGGATCCACTGACGAGCCGCTTTGGCGGGATACTCGGCGGGATCCACTGGCGAGCCGCTCTGGCGGGAAACGCATATTCCAACATACAATCTAACAACCCCTTCCTGTCGGGTGGGGAACAATTATATATATATATATGCAACCCCCCCCATGGACCCTGGTTTTACTGCTTTTTGGGGATGGCAAATCTAGAATTTCCAAATTTATATTCTCGAAATTTCCAATTGTGGGTCCCCAAAGCGTGATAATTTGGAGCCCGGAGTCCTCCAAAATGTCCCAGTACGATACCCTTTGCACATAAGATGTTACTTCAACTAGAATTGGAATTTTGAAGATAGTTTAGTATGGATATAGTTTTCAAAAATGTGTTTATGTTCAATTACAGCTTAAACAAGCAAATCCTTTCCAAATAGCAGCTACATGAAAATGTAAATATATATTTTCGGCTAAACTCCAACTAATCTATAACACAAGAAGTTAGATGGAAGTTGTTTCCCAAATATAATCCAAGTGGTAAATATAATCTAAGACGAACACAACTCAATTTGCTGTTGATAATATCAAGTGAATAGAGACTACATCTCGAATATAATTCATATTAAATATGGCTAAACATTTGGAAATTCAAAATAGGATTTGTGTTATTTACATTCTGGCCCTTTTGTAGCATAAGCAAGGTCCGACATTGAACTTGTTAGACGGTGTTCCAAAGGGAAATTTCAAGGGAAGACAGGTTCAAAATCTAAAACTATCTCGAAACAGGGATTCTAGCTAAACCGTTGTATTTGCGCAGGAAAGTTAATTCTATCTCAAAGGTGGAGGTAGTAGTTGAAGAGGGTGGGGGACGGTGTGTGAACGTACATACATATGTATATCTACATATACACATACATACACACATATATAGTACCCCCAATGATCCTGCGCCTCCTCATAAAGTACTGGAAAATACATTTTTTTTGAGCGTTGCACCTGCCTTTGTTTACCTCCTGGCAAGGGGTCAACATGAGCATAGCTGACATGAAGCTCACCAAAAGCACTTGAAAGTTTGTCTAACCAATAACTTGAAAGTGTGTCCACTGGATCGCTAAGCACTTGAAAATTTGCTACTATCGGATGGAAGATTCAATATTGAAGATTACACAGAACACTTTCCTGAGAATTGTCAATCTTCGCCAAACCCAAATAGCATTCAAGTTCTTCTAACACTTGAAAGTGCTTTACCACTGGATTGGGGATTCAATGTTGAGGAGCCCACAAACCACCACTTTCCTGAGAATCATCCATCCTGGTCAACCCCTAAAATGTTCAAGTTGTTCTATCACCTCGAACATCCGTTACCACTGGATTGAACTAGTTCACGGAAAACTTTTCCGAGAATCTTATTGACCACCGAGAGTATTGGGACAACCCTGGAATTGTTAAAACTTTTTAAAAATTATGGGATTCAAGATTCAATATTCCCGGAAAATATTTTCTCAGATTCTTGAATCTTGAATCTTGAATCCATAATTGTTTAAAAACTTTTAAAAAATATGGGATTCAAGATTCAAGATTCAAGATCCCCAGAAAATATTTTCTCACATTCTTGAATCTTGAATCTTGAATCCCAGAATGTTTAATAATTATTTAAAATATCTGAGTTGCTCTTGTATTATTGGATGCATTAAAACTCTTTCAGATTGCAGGTGCTGATGTCATTGCTTTTATCACATCTGTATGCATGCATGCGTATCACATACATGGGGACCCCGGGCGGAGGACGGACCATATATGTGTATACGTACATATAGATGGTCCTTTTCTTCACACCAGCCAAAAAGAAGGTACCCTGAAATAGAAGCCAAACCCATATGGAATCGGAAGCCGGGGCAAGTCGCCAGGTTTGAGACCCCCAATTCACCCAAGCCCTCTTCGGGTCCAATGAGGGTCTTCCATTAGCGCGACCCCCAGGAGTGGCTGGGTCAAGACCAAACATGGAACCGGCACAGCTGAACGGAAACTTATGAAGTGGGGGTAGGGGCTTTGTCTCTGGTCAAGCCTTCACGCCCTGGTCCGGTCACCGTTCGAGCCGTGGCCGAACCGCATCCCAGGTCCTGCTCCTCGATTTTGTGGAGCTTCCGCACCACTTGGAAGATCTTGGACCCGAACCGGCCCCAGCGCTTCCGCTCAAGCTGCTCCTGAAAAAAAAGAGAGACAAGCGCTCGCTGAGGCCAGCAACCCTTGGTTCAACATCGACACAAAATCCGCAATTCACCCACCGCAATTCACCAGGGTTGTCTGCTGCTACATTTAAGGAATCAAGCAACGACATTGGCGTGTCTCTAAATGGGGAAAATGGGTTACGTTCTCTTGATTGTCCTTTAAACCCAGTTGGCTTGCCCTCAAAACTATACACCCACATGGGTGTTTCACAAAATAGGGGTCCCTTTGTGGATGGTTTCCCCTTACCAAACGGAAACCAACCTACACATAGCACCCATGTGCTTTGTTGCCCCCTGGAAAAAACAAGACTAAAATACAAATTCCAGTAGTGACATCGATTCCCTCTTTTCCCAAAAGGTGAAACAGTTTGCCAAAAAAAACGCGGAGAAAAACAAAAAAAACAATCGGCAAATGAAAGAGCCAGCCTGGGCCCCAACCAACAAATCCCCTTGCGCTCTCCTCCACTGCTCCCGGCTCGCGGACCCGCACCACCTCAGCCGCCTCGCCCTTGCGCAAGGTCTGCCGGCACAGCGCGCACTCGCCCCTCCTGCCGTGGAACGCGTCACGCGGGGCCAAAAGCGAAAGATTTACGGCTGCCGGTGGAAATGATTGTATTCAAGTACGAGTCTTTGTCTTTGAAAAAGGGTTTGCGGAAGTTGCATGATGACATTGTTGATGACTGGTGGTGAAATATCAGCTTTGACCTGAAAACTGGAACGCCTGGTCTTGGGCACGTTGCAAGACACCGCGCTCCAGTCGGGCCATTTTGTGCAGCTTGGCTCGGCCCGCTCAGCCAAACCAGCGCAGGGCGAGGGCGACGTCGCCCTCGCCCTCGCCCTGCGGAAAAACGCTTTGCCGCCCTGAGGTCGGAAGCCCAGGAACTGAGGGGTCTGCGGTTTTCCACTTGTCCATAGCAACCAGAATGCGCGTGAATCGCTCACGTCAAAACCGCTGCGCTTCTGTTCGCTGGTTCTGTTTTGCCATGGAAAACCAGCAGTCCCTTCTATCCATGGTGCATCGCAGGCCTCGAGGCAACAGAGGCCGAAGAGAAAAATCCGCTGAGACGCGGAGTATTCAGAAATCAATTCCTGGGGCTCGTGGATCAAAAGTAGTTGCAGCCCTTTCTCTCTCAGAATCGAGTCAAAGGCATGGGCAAAGCCTCCATGGGAAGAGCCGCCACGAAGCCATTGCCAGGGCCCAAGGACTTTTGAGACACCGCCAAATTTACCAGATCTTTCCAGTGAGAGATGCCAAGCTGACAGAAACTCGCAAAGGCGAGCTTCGCGCCCAGAGCCGCCTATTTGTCAGTGCCCACCCCCCCGTTGTTTTTGGGTCTATATACCACAGCTTGAAAGGTGTTTATGGTTGCCTCACCAATTCTCTCCATGGGGCCAGGTAGTAGAAACGGCTCAAATGGCTCCTGCCATAGGCTCGGGATGCTGCTAAATGTAAGTGATCGCCTGCTTGTTTCGTGTTCGGGTTCCAAAAAGATGAGTGTGGCAAGTACATTCCAACCCTCATCAGCCCTGCCCTCCAACTACCAATTGAGGGTTCGGCGAATGCGAACACCCAGCTCTCCCGAATTGAGTTTGCTTCTGCCAACAACTTTCTCCGCGGCGCCAGCACCCTATCTTTGAGAGGCTGGCTCAGGTCTCAATCAGTCGAGACGCGTGTACCTTGGTGCAGGATCTCATACATGACATGATTCGGGCTGTTCAGTTGTTGGCCTTCACAAGTGGTTTCTCGCAATTGGAGGAGCATGTGTCATTTGATCCAGGGTCTGCAGATTTTGTGGAGTTTCCAAGTTTAGCCCTGCTTCGCTCTGCCAGGGCCGTCAAGACGTGCCTGGCCACGCTTCCAGGGTTTAGGCCCAGTGTGTGAGTTTCGCCCAAGAAATCGTCAGAGAGTCACTGGGAAGGCTACGGGTTCCCCCCCTGTGGCGCACTTCTCTTGGCCCTCACATGCCGAGCATTGGTCAAAAAGACCAATGAGAAGAAGCACTGTCTCCCATGTGTTCCACATGTCCACGCTGCAAAGGCTCGCTGTCTGACAAGAAACGGCGGTATGGCGCGGGTTTTTTCAATCTGACCTGTGTCCACTTGGGGTCTTCTCTCGCACTCAGAGCCCAAAGCAATGGGGCACCCCTCTTCATCCACAGCGAATCCACAGGATCTTTCATCATGGGTTCTCATGATTGCCCGCCTTTGAAGGGGAGCCTGCGTGAGGACGTTACAACACCAGCTGCCTAAAGATCTGTGGAAAAATGGGCTTGAGCCCATCCTGGTCAACCGACTTGTAGAACAAACACCCACCCTTGTTTGGGAAGACCAAACTGGGTGTCTTTCTTTGAGGGTACCTTTTGTGTGGTTTTGAGGGAAAACTAGAGGGGTCCCCCCAAAACAGCCACCACCCGCACCCCCCCGCCCAAGTAGACCCTAAACCTGCGACGGGCGTCGTTTGAAGCCGGGCGGTCGCAGCGCGTTTGTTTGTTTTTTTTTTTTCTCGGCCAAGCGTCTTCAGGCTGTAGTCCGCGATGCTCACCGCCCGGTTCCCAGCCTTGAAGAACAGCTGGTCGTTGGGGTTCCTCAGTCGAACGGTTCGCGGAGTGCCGCATATGTCCATGGGTCAAAACCCAAATCGTACCCCAGTGAACATCCCAATCCCCACTAAAATCTCGACTAAAATGGGTGGTGAATTCACCTACCCCAACATGGGATCTCATTGGTTTTGACCCACAGCCATATAAAGACCGAAAGGAAAAAAACGCTGGTTGCCTTATGAATCACTGGCATCCACGGGGTCGGAAAAGCAAAAACGACGGGTTGGTTGCGCCTTATGGGTAGGGATGGGTCAGCTATCCCTATTACCGCGCATGGCTGCGAAAGCCGTTTTCTTGGGCATCACCTGAGAAACCCTAAAGTGAGTCGATCTCCTTGTATATACATGGATTTTGTTTACTCATAGTATGGGTTAACCCCTCTGGATTGCCATCCGCGCACCACTTCCTGACCTTGAAATGCGAAGATAATTGCGATGTTTGTTCACAAAGGTGCCCTAAACGGCCCCCCCTCCCCCCCGCTTTCCAGCCAAAGGTGCAAATACCCCAGCAGGCGCAGACGGCCCTTCACCCCCTGCTCCGTCTTGCGAAGCGAACTGACCTTGGCCGAAAGCGCCACCAAAAGAAAAAAGCAGCGAAGGGGCCACAACTTTGCGAGTGGCTCACCCGCTTGCAAGCGGAGCCGCCATTTATTAGGAACCCTGGCTCCGTGGGTACCCAGCCAAGGTATAATTCTTGGTTGCACCTTACACCCAAATCGAATTGACGGGATATGTTCTCCAAGGAAAACCCCGGTAGCAAGGAGACACTGCAAAAGGCCTCTTCTTTTCTGTGGGGGGGGGTCTCCTATTGCGAGACAATTGAACCTCCAAAACTTGCAGTCCCTATGGCTGGAGACAGCGGGGAGTGGAACCATTGGCTTCCTGAAGCATGAATTTGGCATCTCAATACAACCAATTCTAAAGACTTCAACTATTTCTGCACAAAGTAAACTGCACACCAACTTGCTTACTCTTGCTTAAGCCTCGTGGAAAACATACAAATATGTGTCCAGTAGTGATAGATTCCCTTTTAAGACCAACAAGGGACAATGACACATATTCTTAAGCAATGGAAGCTTGGAGGGACCAACCCTACATCGCTCAACGAAGCTCCGAGTCTGATAGAGACCCCCCTGTAGGGCTGCTCAGCACCAAGAGAGTATGTGGGGGGGGAATGCCGGAGAAATAGAGGTGAAGAACCCAACCTATGACCAGCGACCAAGGAGACGAGAACGACCAGATTCGAGCGAGACGTGGAATACTAAAGTCCACCCCTTCCATCCTATCCTTCTTTATCCTTCATGTGGAGCTGCCTTTCCTTTTTTCAGGGTACCCTCTTGGGTTTTGCTTTGAAGGGAAAGCCAAACAAAAACCGATGCCATTTTGGGGGTTCCCCTTTGAAGACAAACCCCCACCACCCACCAACCACCCACTAACCACCTAATGTTGACCCCGGATGAATATGGGGGTGTTTTATTGGTTTTAGTGAGGATGTTATCACTTTTGGAGAAAAAACACCCCCATATTTTAGTAAACCGGGGTTTAAGAAAATGCGGGGTCAACATTATTGGGCTGTGTTTTAAAGAGAAACCAAAGGGACACCCCATGCCATTTTGCAGGTTCTCCTTTGAGACCAACCCCCACCCACCGACCACCCACTAACCACCTGTCCGGCAACAGCCGCCTGCAGCAACTCACCTGACACCAGGGTCCCTGCCACCTCCTCGTCCACGGTCAAGGGGTTGTACCCCGCCCCCGGCGCCGCGAAGAGGGTGCGCGTGCTGGCGAGGCCTTGACCCGAACGAACGAAACCGATCACCCGAGGGTGCTGCGTTATACACCTGAACATTGCCTTGTAAATGGTGGTTTTCCTTTATTTTGGTGGAAAAAGCCATGTTTCAAATGGTCAAAATGTATCTTTTTAGGAGCTGCGTGAAGCGATGTGGGTAGATGGGGAACCGCCCATCCACCGAGTTCAAAATTGAAGCCACCTGGTAGGGGTTGAAGAGTTAGAAGCATCCCCCCCGGGATCATGGATTTAATAGTACCCCACAACCCGTTCTGATTCTCGAGGCCCCTATAGTAACAGGGGCATGCCCGGAAAGACAAGGCCAAGGAATCACAGGATTGCTTTTTCTTGACTGTGCCTGCTCTACAAAAGACCTGGAAACAACAAGCTTAACTTCGAGACCTTCACCAAACTGTACACGCAAAATGTTCCCTCAACCTGTGGTGGCAGTCAACCAAGCAGGGCAGCTTGACTTGCCCCCTGACACCATATACATCGAGGCGGAAGATGAAAGGGCCCGTTGACAAGGGCCCGCTTGACATACAAGCCATTGTCAAAATATGCCGTGACCGAAATAGGACGTGGGGGAAATCAGTGCGTTCCCCGGCTTTGGTCGTAAGTTTGGTGAGTCGCCTGCAAAATTGACCATGAACTACTGGATAGTTCTGCCCGGGTTAGCTCATGTGCCCGGTAACGCCCAAGTGCGGGCCGAGGAAATAGGCACTAATCCACATTGAGCCTTATTAAGCCTTATCAAGCCTTACTAAGCCTTATCAAGCCTTATTAGACCTTATTAAGGCCTCTTCCAGCGTCACAATTTATGATCAGCATGCTGAGTATGCTCAAAATGGACAGATTCTGCTACTCGCAAAAACTCCGAACCTGGTAAAAGGGAACTTCTGCTATGGGACCTCTCACCATGATCTGTTCCCCCCCCCCCCCTGATTGGTGAACTCGTCAAAACTCGCCCATATGGGTATGTCTCAATAGGGCGACCCCATCACGGTGGGAAGCCATTTGGTTTCCATGTAAACCAAGCTTAGAAAGTACATACCCTCAAAACACCCAGAGAGGCCAAGAACCCAATGTTTGCGATTTTGGGCTTGGTTCAAGGGGGTTGATCAATTACAGATTCCCCAACTCCGCAAATACGAGGCACT